CTATACATACATATATACTATATATATATATATATATATATACTGTATATATGTATGTATAGGGTTTTGAAGGTGGTTTCCATATGAACAAGTATAAACATCCAGGGAATCAATTATTCACTCAGTATTATCGTTTTATTGTTGGGCCTTGTAGTTGATCTAAGAGTACAAAATAAAAAATACATTAATAGTGACTGGGTTCAGGGATTGGGGGAGGGAACTGTATGACTCCAGTACTATCAATGTGCTGCAGTGCAGTAGCACTGTCTTGTTGTAAAGACAACCTCTGTTTTTCACTACATTTTCTTTCCTTGTTGGTTTTAAAGAGAAAGGTCAGAGAGGGATTTGGGGAAAGTATGCAAAAAAGGGTTGTAACTCAGTATTATAGTCAACATTCACTTTATACTAGAACTATCCAAATGAATGTGACTGGAGCAGCATTGTGTCCTTATGGCACCGCCAGACATTTATACGCTCTGCAGTAATAACAAGAACTAACTGGATAGATGTCTTGTCTTTTTTATCTGGGCTTAAATTAAAAACTCAGTTATGGAAGATTAAAATAGATTTCCTAATTATTCTGGTTCCAAACACACTTTTATGCATGAAGAATTATCCATTAATTCGAGTTCAGTTTGGCATGGCAGACTGAAAACAATATTATAATATTATCAACTCATAATGATACTTTTAAAAGTCTATTTGCCTTATATTATTTGGCCTTAATTTAAATCCCAAATTTAGCCTTGTTGTTTTTTTTTTTGTGGAAAAAGAACAAAGACTGTGCTTCTGGATCCTGATGAAAGGATACAGCTGCAGAAACAAGGGTTTAATTTTGTACTGTTCAGCCAGAAACTAGGGTTTGGCATCAACTCTTGCAACGTTCACCTGCCTTTAATTTAACCATCCCATCATGCAGTGCACGTAAGTTAGTGGAGCAGGCACAGCTGACGCCTTCGGCCCCTAACCACTGTCATGGGAATGCTTGGCACGTTATCTCTCCCTCCCACACACACACATAAACACACACACACACACCTACACACACACATAGACTAATTCCCTGCCACAGGGAGAGAAACACAGGTCAAACATGACGCAGAGTCCCTAGACCACAGTATAGTGGCGTGTTAGGGAATCAGTGAGCTGAACAGTGTGTGTGTGTGTGTGTGTAGTTGTGTGTGCTCTGTCGGTGCCTCTGCCAGCCTCCCTCTGGTCCAGGTTGTCTGAGTGAGTACCCAGGGGGGAGCAGAGGGAGAATGAGGAGGGAGGGGTTTGCGCGAGAGACAGGGGAGGTGAGTCTAGCTGGTGGAGCAGCTGAAAAGAGAGGAAGTAGGAAAGACAGGTGCGAGAAAAGGAGGAGGCAAACAAGGTGACGGGGGAAGAAACAGGAAGAGGGGACAGTAGAGATGTGGTGGAGGGAGGCAAGGGGAAGATTACAGAAAGGAGGAGTGCGAGGACAGACAGGATCACAGCCTCTGGGGATATACAGTAGCACATAACAGGAGGAGGGGGTGAAAGAAGGAAGAAATGGAGCGGAGGATGGATGCGTAGAGTTTGGGCTGTGCTCACCCTTGACTTGACCAAGGCAGGGCCCTTCATTATAGGCTCCCATCAGGCACTGCTGCCGGTAATGTGCTGGAAAATGTGCGGTAACGCTGTGATCTGTTTTATGCTCCGTGCTCTGCTCTGCTCCACAGACAGCCTGCAGACACACTCACTCACACACACACAGACACACACACAAAGGTATGTCCACAAACCTGCATACAAAGACAAATGAGTACACACACCTACCAAGACGTGCATAAATACTGTACACACCCAGTAGATGAATGGTTGTGCATCTGTGCGTGCATTACATTAAGTTAGACAGTAAAAACAAAACATGTACACATAAAACAACTCACAGCCAAGTGCAACCCCTAAACACAAATGCATTCATTTAGGCCACAGAAATATTTATTTACAATATCACTTGTGAGGCTGAAAGGTGAAAGCACAATCTCACACCACATGTAGAGACAAACTCCACTGCTCTGCAACGTAAACCACAATAATACACACACATTCCCACACATACACACCGTGATTACTGAGGGTTCAGATGTGCTTTTTGTTTCAACTCAAGCAGTAAATAGCTGCCTCCACAAAAGTAGAAAAAAACAGGGTGACAGTTGGCACTGTTGCACTGCAGTGTGTGTGTGTGTGTGTGCGTGTGTGTGTCTATTCATGTCACTGTGTTTCATGCAGACATATGCTCTGTGTTTTCCTTCTGTGCACGTATGAGACTGGGGAGATATTTTTGTTTTACCCAATTCCCGGAGCAGAGTTAAACACATATTTGGAGATTTGATAGAGAGTACAATAATCATTATGATAGAAATGCTTTAGCTGTATGCCAATATTATAAAGGATTAGGGCTGCCCCCTAATAATCGACTTAATCGATAGTGGCTGAGAAGAGTCTTAGTCGACGTGCTTTTCATTAGTCGGATAGTCGCATAAAAACAAAAACAAAAGTATCAGGGAATTTTCTTAGGTTAGTTAGCCGTCCTATTAGCTGACTATACCCAGACTGGGAGCTCAAAGGACAGGGGGAGTTACTACCGTAGGAGCGGAGGGACACAGCGGTGACTACTGTTAAGGAGCATAGACAGAATGAGCGTCAGAACTGGAGCGGAACGGGCCAATGGAGGCCAACCGATTTACAGCAGCTCCCAACAGGACTATTATGGCTCTGGGGGGGGGGGACACGGCGGGTTCAGGCAGCCACAGGAGAGGCATCAAACAGAGGAAGAGGAACAAGTTTGTAGTTAATGTTAATTTGTAAGTAAGTATTTGTTTTAGTGCAGTTGGAAGTCGTGTTTTGAACAACGAGAGTTGTGTGATGTTATACTTTGTTGAAATCTCCTTGCTGGTTGCTCTGACAGATTCATTACTGCTTTAATGCATTATATTGTAAATGTCCTACGACTAGTCAACTATATGCTTTATTTAACGACTGCTAGTCAACTAAGAACATCTTTAGTTGGGGGCAGCCCTATAAAAGATTATTTAAGGATTAGGTTTTCTCTTATGATTATTTTTCCACGTGTTTTGACCCATCGAGACAGCTGTTGGATGTAATGTACTGTCATTCATTGTCACTGATTTTGCCACCTGCTGCTCATAGGATCACATTAACGTTAATGCTCATCTAATATCCCACTCGGGTGTATTCAGACTATTCACAACTGCAATCCATCATATTGTAGCAAAAAAGTCTGTGTTTTGTTCCAGGCTATGAAATTGAGTGTCAGTGTGTTCTCCAGTGAGTTGATTCAAAGTTCACTACTGAACAAGAAGCAATGAGAAGTTTTTAAATGTCACTATCAATGAAACTGACCGTCTCTATTGGCACGTAACAACTTTGTCCTGTTCTGAGCTCTGTGGGTTGGTTTGATTAAATGACATTCAAGAGAGGACTGTTCAGGTGTTTTACCCCATGATTGAAGACAAGACATTAAAATCTTGTGCAAACACATTGTGGTAATTGAGATCAAATAAAATATTTTGTAATACCAGTATGACTTTAAATTTCACCTGCAAATATTGCTAAAAATAATTACTCCATGTACCAGCTACGGGGGTTTCCACCTCTTACAGCGTTAATTCTCTCTTTCTCTTCTTTCCTTTCCTTTCTCTCTGTTGTCTAGGTTATGCAATACTGCAGGCAATTATGGAGAGAGCGGGGCAGAACGGCTGGCAGGTCAGGATACACACAAACACACACGTTCCTGGAAGCATGCCAAAAGAATTGTACACACACTGTGCATTCACATACTTACATCCTTATTTTTTCCAGAACAGTTGTCAACTTGCTTGTGGTTACATGATCTTATTGCTACATGATCTACTTGTGTTTGTAGGCGTTTACACTTTTCTTGTGAATATGCATGTATGTTAATTCAGGTGAGCGCTATCTGTGTGGAGAGTTTCAATGAGGCAGCATACCGCCGACTCTTAGAGGACCTGGACCGACGTCAAGAGAGGAAATATGTCATTGACCTGGAGCCTGAGAGACTACAGAGCATCCTAGAACAGGTAATATTACTATACCACAAAGGTAACCTTGTATTATAAGAGCACAGTATTATAAGAGCATAGTGGCACTGCAGTCAGCAAAATGATCAGACGTAAACCCATCTGGATCATAATTTATCGTATAAAAAAATAACAAATTACTGCATTACTAAACACTATGGTCCCTAGCTGCAGTACATCACAAGATTAAAAATAAATAAATCACTATCAGCTTACTGCAGGTGCAGAATGATATTTGACACTGTACCTGAGGGGCCCTACAGCTTTTCAGAGCATGAGATACTGCTTTATTGGAGGCAATGCTATACCTTTATGTGGCACTGTTACTGTCACTGAGATTACTGCAGACAGGGCAGAGATTACTTCATTGACCTGGACTTAACAGCACTTAACACTTAATAATGAAGTACAATCACAACACAATGACACATTATTACCACCTGAAACAACAGTCAACACAGCACAGGGTAAGCTATTTTGTAAAGTAATTAAAACGAGCACCTTTATGACAATTCAAATAAGTATTACATTACAAATTATAGTATCTATATTTTTTATTTGTTGGCTGCACTGGTGGCTGTCTGCCTGCTGTCTGCTTCACACAGCTAGTTGCAACAGCGCTCCTTATGCTTTCTGACATCTGGAAAGAAAACAAGATTTTAGATTTTCCCTGGAGTTCATAATGTGGGGAGAAAAATGTGACTTCCCCAACAGCAGTGTGTGACTGCAGTCAACGCACCACTCAGATACAGATTTCCATAACACACACACACACACACACACACACAAACGCATACTGTATATGAAGGTGCACACTCTGACACCTTACGCTTGTCCAAGTTCATTAGATTATCTGTCTTGCTTGATGCTTGAGCTCTGACAGGTGGTGCAGACATGTGTGTGTCTGTTGTGTGTGTGTGTGTGTGGTGTGTGCCCTTTGACTCAGGTTTCAGTGTAACATCCCATTGGTTCTGCCACCTGTCATCACATCTGATCCTCTGTCTGAACATCTGACAAACTCAGTGACACACACAGACAAATACCTCCCCACACACACACACACATGCAAGCTTATCTTTAAAATACATACCAGTGCGTAATTCATGCTATAGGCAATCAAACGTACACCACACACATGCTCGCACAGCTACACGCACACACACAAACATCCACCAGTAACAGCATCCCAGACAGACAGAAAGACAGACAGACAGACAACTTCTTAATTGGCTTCTCTGGTGTGTCAACAGACAGACAGAGACACACACACACGCTCTAGTGTATAGTGAGACAGGCATACAGACACAAACACACACTCCCGTCACAGTGGGCTCTGCAATGCTGGCATTGGCTAGCATCCCTGCTCTGAGACAGAGACTGCTCTGTTTGTCTGCCCCTGCCAGCTGCGTTCTGTGTATGTGTGTGTGCATCTGTCTGCGTTAGTATATAGCTGTTGGTATGTGTGGATGAGAGAGACAGAATGACAAAATGTGAACAATTTGTTAATTAGGTTTATGCACCATGTCAATATGAAGATGCATCTTTCTCCTTGAAATCTCACAATGTGCCATATTTCACCTCATACAGCTGTACTGATATAACAATGACAAAAAATAATACAGATTTCAGTTTTTACTATTGTCTGACTAACTGTCAGCCCTGCAGTCTCACACAAACACGCCAGACAGACAGTCAGTCAGTAGTCATTTCTGTTCACTGGCAATATGTATTGATAGTACATGAAGTGTAGAAGATAAGGTGTTGAGGTCAAGCTGGTATACGTTGATTTTGATGGACTAGAATTTGCAGTTTTAGTTGCCTCAACCATATCTTAATCTGCTTTAGTAGCAATACATTGATGTTGTAGGAAAAATATGAAAAACATTGAAAATGCGTTTTTGCACGTATGTTCACACTTAACATATCTGCAAAAAATGTTTCTGTAGGAATGTTTTTAAGTAAACCAGTTAACATTACAGTTTCCCAAACTATATTTTGCTAAAACAAAATGTGAATGTAGTTCTTGTAAGGAAATATTGGTAACCTGTCACTGTTGGATAAAGGCACCTCATTAACGTTATTACCAAAACAAGTTAAATAATCTGTCAAGTTAACAGAGCCCTGCTACAGGCGTTGCTGAAACTCTTTAAATGTTCCAAGATGCTGCAGAGTCTGAGGCAGCATGGTGCAGAGGACAAGTGAAGTCCTCACACACTCACTCCCTCTGCTTTTAATCAGAATAAGATAGTAGCCACAGCCACTGCTGGGTGAGGCGAAAGATTCACAGATCCCCTCCGCTGCTCCCTAAAACTAAATTAAAACAACTTTTAGTTCTCTTGTCAAGTAACTCAATTGCTCGTATGTTAATTGTGAATCCCACATGTCCCCTGGTTTGCCGCACAATTCATGCATAGCCAGTAGCAAAGAAATAATGTTTTTTCTCTCTCTCTGTTTTTCTTTCCAGGCTGTCAGTGTGGGGAAACATGTAAAAGGTTACCATTACATCATAGCAAACCTGGTAAGAACTCTTAATGGCATTGCCGTTGGCTGTTTTTTAGTAGCGTGTTTGTGTTTTGATTGCCTACACGAGAATAATTTCCTTTTAATAAGAGACAAGAAAGAAGGCTATTTGACAAATGGACACAAAAATTATCAAGATGAGGTCTTAAAAAAAGAGTGTCTAAAAGCTGGGCACACAGTATACAATTTTGCCCATTTTGGATCTAATTTCTGAGCTGCACAACTCATTCTAGAGTTTCACAAAATTAAACTTCATAGAATAGAATCGATTAGAATAGAATGCCTTTATTCGATACTTGCACGTTTTTTTGACGTCAAACTACTAGCTGCGCGGGCAAGAACATCGTTCTCCAGCAACGAAACCCAGTAAACTAATTAAGGATGTTGCCAGACTGTTGTACTGCGTCTACTTACTTACTACAGTTACTTTGCATACATACTATCGTACATTTATTACTACTACATTAACGTTACAACAGATTGCCTAACAGGACTAAAGCATTTTCGCCTGCCGCCCTGCTGCTCTTGTCTGTTGTCTGTGCTATGAGTGGGATAAGCAAGGTGCTACAATGTTTGACATCTAGCAGCCATTATACATACAGCCTAGTTGGCATAAGGTTTTTTTTAAACTAACATTACTTATCAAGCTTGTCATTCGCCGCAGGCAGGGTGTCATATTCAGGATGAAGACTTCATCACACGACAGAACAGATGTCACTTTGTGTATTTAGCTACAAACATGCAAACATTAGGCATAAGCGTTAGCGGGTAACGTTAGCTAGCTAGGACTAGTAACACTCATGTTTGGCGTTTGATTATGAAGATATTCCTGTTTTTCACCTCCATGACGACAGCGTTGTTTAACCCATCCAGCTGAAAAAAAGATAGCTATCCGCGTACTTTGTGTAGGGCTTTAATTTTTTTGTGCGGTGTAAGGTACGGATATATGCAAATATTGTAGCGTCCACCAGGACGTGTTGAAAAGATGACAAAGTGTTATTCAGCAAACCAACCTTTATTGCTGGACAGTGCAGGTTACTGTCGGCCGTAACCACGCCAAAATCAACCAAAACAAAAAGTTAGCCGTCTAACTCTCAACTGTGTCCTTTCGCGCTCACCTCAGGCTCCTCTCACACACGCGCACAGCCCTCATCCCCGTCACACCTCGCACCCCGCCCCCTACCTACTCATTCAATCCCAAAACATGACATTAACTCACTGAACATTACTGCAGGGTCGCTACAATATATATGTTTTCTTGCCCCGCCAGTAAACCATGTTAATCACGTGACTGGCAAAGATTGTCACTATACACATGTACAATGAGATTAAAAGCCAACTCCATCTGGCGTCATTTGCTGTGCCATGTACATGAGGTGGAGGTGAATGTTTCTGACATGTCTACGGCAACCAGACGTCCCAGTTTGTCCGGGTTGTCCTGGTTTCAATCTGGGTGCCCCATGTCCTGACAAATATCTATAAAACACTTAAATGTCCTGATTTTTTCAACACTGTCTCGGTTTTCACCATAATTAACATAATGATTATACTATTATATTTGTTTTTATTGTTTACATAGACGTTTATCATTTCCTGTCTCAATGATTATTACCTAACCCAATATAAAAACATAAACAATGCGTGTCAATCAATCAATGTGTCGTTGTCAACGCTGTTGCTAGCTTATGATACATAGACAACAAGCATCATATACTATGACTCTTTATGACAGAACCTGTCCGAATGCTAAAGGTTAGCTTTCATGCCAAGGAGAGAGTTGGTCTTTTCTAAAAAGCTCCAGGATGCAACAACGTTTCAAAAATCTAACAGTGTATGTGCAGTGTAAGTCCTGTAAGCCAACATTATGAGACATGTTTTACTTACCCATACTTTGACATTCAGCTTGTCTCAAGGTTGTTGTTTTTTTTCTGCAGTTATTAGCAGAGAAAACAAACCATGCTTGCCAGTTCCACATTGATCTTTTAATATTCCCACCAAGGTGCCATTTTTCTTTCAGAATTAGTATATTATCATCTGTGTCTCCTCAACAAAGTCAGGTAGCTGCTGGAACTCACATCAGTAAATGATGTATTGCCTCAACCTTAATCCCTAAAATCTGTTCCACAGCATTTCTCTCCGGGACGTTGAAAAAGGGGCCACTGAGCGCAGGTCAAGTTAGATAGGCTCTCAGAGCTTTTAGCAATTAGCATCCATCAACCCAGGATAACCCTCACATGTCTTTACTCTCTACCTCTGTCTCTGGCCCGTTCCCAAATGGATCCCTCTCCACGACCACTTCAGTACGAAGTGTCACTCTGTGTGAAGTCACACTCGCAGCTGTGGAAGCCACTCCATATTAAGTAGGGGTATAAATAATCAGGTAGACTGTTGGAGTATGTTGGAGTATGATATGTCGGCAAAGGTGCACACATTCCATCAGAGGGTTTTGTAGTCCACTTCCACTCTCCTCTAACTGGTTTTGGAGTATTTTTAGTATTTAGTATTATCTTTCTTTTTTCTCTCTCAGGGTTTTAAGGACATATCTCTGGAGAGGTTCATGCATGGCGGGGCCAATGTGACTGGTTTCCAGCTGGTGGACTTCAGCAGGCCCATCGTCATTAAACTGATGCAGCGCTGGAACAAACTGGATCAGAGAGAGTATCCTGGATCTGAAAGTCCACCTAAGGTGATAAAAATATGCTGTCCCATCCCATATAGATTGTAAACATTTGGCACTACGTGAACAAATTTGAAAGATTTGCTATAGTGGATCTTGTTTTCGAAAGGATGTTTTCCTCAGCAGCACAAATGTAACTAAAGCTTGTGAGAGCTTAACTTGCACCCAGATACACACAGATATTTACAGTGCACACACACACATTTAGGGGTGATGGAATCAGTGTGTTTCGTACCTGAAATTCACCACAGGCACCAATTAAGCAGCCTTCTGAAACAAGCAAGTCACAGGGTGATGTGTGCATTTGAATCATGTGGTACAGCTTCTTAACCAATCAGAGTGTGACCTGGCAGACTGTAACGTAATGAATGCTGATTCTTCAGACTGAAGACGTCTTTGTCATGTCTGTCCTGTGTGATATATGATATATAACCAAATCCACAATTACATCCCTTGTATGTATGTCTCATTGTCTCTCTCATTGTATATCCTTTATCCTCTCTCCATTCACCATCCTTAGTGTCTATTTTCTCTCAACACCCATGTCCCTTTCTCTGTCACATTTTTGTGTCTCTATTTAGTCTCTAACTACCCCTCCCCCTTTCCTTTCTATCTCTGTCTTTGTCCGTCTCTCCTCCCTCAGCACTCCTCTATTGAACGGCTACTGACCTGCAGCCAATTGCGTTTGATTTGTGCATACATTAACTGGAAATATGTCCACCTACCTATTAAAAATACATCATGCTGCAGCTCTCTGTCCCTTGCTCTTTGGCTCACACTTACCTGCAAGCAGTCACACACACACACAGTAGTAACTTTAAAAAGGCGATGCTGAGTCTTTCAAGGCTGAAAATATATACATACATACATGATGGTCATATTCTTTCATTACTGGAATGTTATTTTACACTCAAGGACCATACTAATTGGCTAATCATCGTTTTTAGATTGACCTGATCAATTCTCATTAGTTGCCTCATCAATCGATCCTGACAGTTGACCCAACACAAGTTAGTGTGTTAATGGAGGTAAACCTATTATGCATGTGAACATGCTTAGATATACAAAATACAATTAATTACAACTACAGGTGTTCTTAACTTTCAAAACTTTATGAACATCCTTGATGATGTGCATTCAAACATTGTCTTTCCTTTTCAACCACAAAACATATGTTTTACGTTTGCCTTTTGCAAACAAGGACATTTTAATGATTTAATACAATAACACAAAACCAGATATCTCTAGTGACAACAGATGTCTCCAAATTGCTCTAGGCTAATTGGTGCTGTGAGAAACTGAGCTCAGTTAGCCTTGGGCCAACTCGTAGCCTCAGGCCAAGTAGAACTCTGCTCTAATAATGTGCACTGTGAAAATTACTATTGGGGCTTGTCCATTTTGCACTAGAGACTGGATTTTGAGTTAGCTGCTTTTGGCCATCAATCAAAATCTCTTAACCCAGTGATTCTCAGCTGGTGTGCCTGGAGATTTTTGTTGAAATGTAATGAAAAAGATCAGTGATCTGTTAAGGTAAGACATTAACTTCATCAAAATTCAGCCACAATACTTAAGATCACACATTTATTCTCCAAGTTACAGCCTTTTTGGGGCTTTTTCCATCTATGTATCTATCCATCTCTTTTTAACATCTGTGTTAGCATATTTATCTGCCTTTATCAGTATTTGTCCACGTGTAAAGCATTTAAGGTTTGCCAGACACTGGTGCAAAGCTCATTTTATAAATTAAATATGCGTGTCCAAATGGTTTTAATACTACTGTTTTTTAAATTCAATTTCTCATCTCATTTGACAAGAAAAATGAATGAAAGAGCTGTGTTTTTCAGTGTGTCATTAACCCCGCCTCTGCCATATTATGTTCCCTGTGGTACAGTCTATGGTGAGATTATTTAACATCATTAAAAAGCAAAAGAGTGTATGCTGTGTTCGCACTGGATTTATTAATTACTGCATATAGATTATCCTGTTAAGCTGCATGCATAAGGCAATTGGCTACTTGCTTCGTTATCCATAACACAATGGTGGCTGTTAAATTTTTGTACACAAACCAAATGTGTGCCATCCTTAGCTTGTCACCGATGTTGTCCTCTAATGGTGCCATCAACTTTTGTGTCTTTATGCTGATGTTGTGAGTAATAACGGCCTGATGATTGATTCCAAATCTATTATGTAATTTGCATTGTCTATATTCCAATATTACTTTGTCTATGTCTATATTACAACATTACATAATGGTACTATAAACTAACTGACTGCTATGCTAATAGCTCTGTAAGTTTGTACTTTGGCTCAGCACTGCTTTGACCTGCATGCAAACATCACCATGCTAACATGCTCAAATTGACTACGCTAACATGTTGATGTTTGCAGGTATCATTTTTACCATATTTAGCATACATTTGCACTAAACACAAAGTACAGCTGCAGATGAGGGTAATGTCATTAGGTATGATGACGATGAAACAAAGTATTGGACACAGTCAAACCTGATAATGGCTTACCTAAGTTATGTGATCCCAAAAGTTGTTACAATTCATCCTCAGAGGGACATTCAATCCTCAATGTCCACATTTTCAAATTCCAGGACAATCCATCCAATAGTTGATAACATATTTCAGTCTGGACCAAAGTGGTGGTCTGACCAACCAACCAACAGACATTGCCATATCTAGAGTGTGGCTAAAAATAAATGAACAATGAATAAATGAATGAATAAAAAGATTGACTACAACTCCTTATGCTTGCAATGTTACTTTATCTCAGTCATCAGGTCAGTTCACCCATAAAAGCCTCGGTGTAAAGCATGAATGCAGACATGTACATTCTAAATGCACTGCATACATTTTTTATATACATTAGTTTCTGTGTGAAAAGTGGTATGTGTTTTCTTTTATTGTATACATAATTTATAAAGCTGGTAATTGGTTTGATCCAGAGCTGTAGAGTAAACTTGATGAACCTGTATGTTCTATCCTATTTGAGAATCCACATTTACAAAGCAAATCGGGTTTTACTTGAAGGATCTTAGCTGAACTTGGAGATTTCAACTGATCCTAGAAATATCGTCTAGAATTTGGTGTTTTTAAAAGCCAATACTGTTTTATATGTGTCCCGAAGGTGTTTCTGTCCTACCTCTGACAGAAACAAAAAACAGTACGCTAGTTGGCTCAGTTTTGTAGTTGTTTTCTGCTTTGCTCTGATTTGGATTCTATAGTTGTCATCTGTCAGTTGCGTGCCTAAAGGCTTCTTAAGTTTCAAAGGGGAGAGATGAAAGGAGGATGACATGGTTGTGCAGCCTTCCAAAACGCGCCTTTTGGGATACAAATCAAGGGATGTCAGTAAGAGAGAAAACTACCTGCACAGGCGTGGAGAGCGTTGGCGGAGTCTCTCAGCCGACTTCCCTCTTTCCTCCCGTTTTCATATCACCACTTGTCTCCGCCGTGATGTGAAGGCAGCCCGCTGTGTGTTTGACTGCCTCTGTCTGTGTGCCGCTGTGTGTGTCTGTGTGTGGGCTGGGTGGGTTTGTTGCAGTTGGTTGTGTGGTGTGGTTCCCTGCTGCGCTGTGTCTTACCTATAATGAATTTGTCAAACAATCTGTCAAGATCACCACCACTTTTGAGAGTTTCATTAGACCACAGATACTGATAATCTCCTAGCCTTTCTCTTTGTCTCACTCGCTGTCTCGTTTCAAAGGTCCCTTAAAACATCAACAACTCACTCCTTATGCATTACATCCTATTTTAGAACATAACCCAATGAAACCATATTTATAAAACTAAATTTCAGTATCAAAGGGAATTCCCCCAACAAAGTGGGTTTAATGAAGGGATTTACAATATGATTTAAACACGTTTCAATGTCGCTTTAATGGCCCAGTGACTGTATTTAAAACTATAAGCCTGTCTAAATCTGGCACATTTACAGTGATGTTACATTTACAGTGGTGTTGATTGATGTTCACCAGTGTTAACTGTGGAAGTCAAATAAAAGTCAGAGCTGTGAGATAAATTAACGGCACAGGTCAGCATGTTTGCATACTGGTGAGGTTAGTTCATATGGAGTTAGGATGCAGGAGTTGTCAGAGTTTAAATTGGGAATAAATCATATAGGCCTATGATATAGTCCTGCAGCATGAAAGTATTCTAGTTAGGCTTTTTAAATCACAGCATCTACTCAAACACTGTTTGTTGTGTATCTATGTAAACTTATGTAGTCTTGCAGAGTAAGCTACCATCACTGAAAAGACGATTTGGATGTTTTTTGTAATGGCGTTGAGCACCAAACACATCAGAAAAAAATCTGTGATTTTGCTTTACAATGTCTGTGGGTTGTCAACCTTGAAATGACTGCACTGGGATACTGATGTGGAAATAGTGCTTTTGAAGGCACTATTTATCATCCACCACCGCAAAAAAAAAATCTATAAGAAACACATTAAATACTGATTTTCAGTATATAATTTAATTGTTTTATGTAGATATACCTCAGCTTTATTTGGTTAAAAAATAAAAGTTGGGCTATTTTAAGTCCAGAATTCACCCTGAATAAAATCAATGTCAGTTTACAAACAGGGACTCTTATTAACTCTGTAATGCCTCTGTCTCTTTTAACATTTTTGCACTACCTGAGTATTAATTTCTGCCATACTGTGTACTTGGACTGACTTGGACTCTTCATTCTGTCATAAAAAATGTAAAAACTTGTCAAACTGCTAAAAATATATTTTCTTTCTCTCTGTTTGTCCCTCCATTCTTCAGTATACCTCATCTCTAACGTATGATGGCGTCCTTGTTATGGCCGAGGCCTTCCGCACCCTTCGCCGCCAGAAAATTGATATCAGTCGCCGTGGCAACGCTGGCGACTGCCTGGCGAATCCTGCTGCTCCCTGGAACCAAGGAATAGATATGGAGCGTGCCCTCAAACAGGTTGGCACAAGTTTGATGCTGTGTAGTTTACCACTGACAGATTAGACAGATGTTCACAAATACACACACACACACACAGAGTCAGTAAAACACCTGGCATGATAAAAGGGAAAAAAGTTCCAGAGATCCTTGCCAACATTTATGTGTTTTAAATTCTTGTTGGGACTTTGATGGAGTACCCAGAGTTCACACACGCTTACTGTAACACATAAACTTGTACTGCCATACTTGAGGGGACACTGTGATGACTTCCATCACTTCTCAAGTACCGTAAAACTTCTAATAAAAGCAGAGTCCCAAATAGACTTACATCTTCTTTACTAGCGTGGCTACACGTTTTGACATATAAAGGCAAGTCTGAATTAGAGGCCTGGTCTGGATTTTATAGAACTTCTTTGGATGTATAAAACTTCTTAAAGCTTGAGCTTAGATTGTCTACACAAGTACATGTTTACATTTTGACGATGATACACCTTGTAAGATCAGTTCGATTCTCCACAATTCAATCATTCATTTTACAGAAATCATGAGCATATAATTACATAATTACAGCATACAGTATGTGTCCATTCCACAATTATTTATATTCCTTTAGTCCTAAGGGGTCCACCGATCAAAAGAATCAAAGGGTTTCATTAAAATTATTCCAAGGTCCACCATTCCCGCACTGGAGATTGCCGACCTAAGCATGAATGATTCGCAGGAAATGATGCGTGCATGTAATCCAACACTCTGTTTGTAATATCTTATTGAGCCTCACTTTTTATTTTTCACAAAAGTACTGTTAATGCAAACCAAAAATGTCATTCTGCTGCTGCTTCACATTCAGTTTGTTGAAAAAAATAGTGCTTGTCTGGGTACACTATGAACAGATACACCTGCTGCTTATCTGTATTTGTATTTCTTATAAGCAGCTGCTCAAGAATTCTTAGACCTGTAATTTTAAACCATATTACAACCTGGAACTATTGGTGTTTACAAATCAACCTAGACTGAAATCTTAAAGATTACAACTTTAAAGACAGTATTTTTCTCTTGCCCTTACTATTATTGTTGTTGTAAATCCAGGTGCGCATTCAGGGCCTGACTGGGAATATTCAATTTGATCACTACGGTCGGAGGGTCAACTATACCATGGACGTCTTTGAACTGAAGAGCAATGGACCACGCAAGGTAGGCTCGCCTCATGGCTTAGAAACAAAGGTAAACAATACTTTGAATTTGTGACTTGGACACAAACATGCCACAGCCAACTTATTCCATTCAGTTTTTGTGATGTGTTTTCAGGTTGTGTTGTTGAAAGGCAGTGTTAAATGTTTTTTTCATCATTTCAGCAAAATGTGACTCTTAAGCAGTAAAGTTACTTTTAATCACAACTGAGATGACATGCACTTACTGCATTTTTCTCATTTTATTACTCATGCTGGCTGATTGTTAAAAAAATGAATTCCTTCACTGTATAATTATCTCCATAATTCCTCATTAATAAGTGTTTTACTGCAGTTATAAATATCTTTACACTACAATTGAACCACTGCAGCTTGTGCTTTTGAATAGTTTTTTTGCAGTGTTCATTGGAGAGCAGCTCTCAGACAACCTGGGGGTATATAAAACTCTGCAGTGACGTAAATGAGGAAAGTTTGAACATAATCCTTCTTCATAATAACAAACAGGATAAGGCTCAGGTTGAAAGTACTCATAATTTCTCTTTACTGGAAAAAAAAGCATACATGTAGCACCTATAATAAAGAAATAACACCATGTTCCAGCTTCTCAAGTGTTCCTTTGACAGCAATGTGTGTTTATTGAAAGTTCTTGGCTCCCACTCAATATCTCTCAATATCTTCTACAGTTCCAATGGGAAATCTGCTGGGATGAGCTCATTCTGTTGACTTTTTTTTTCTTTATATTTCTCTCTTTTCTATCACATAGGTTCTATTTCTTTTTTGTCAGTCTTGATTTTTATTGTAAGCTTTTTAAATTTTTAAATTAATTGCACTATAAGGTCTGATTGATTTCATTATTTTGTTTTATCACTCATTTGCTTTGTCTCTTGTCCCTCTGTTTCTCTCAGATTGGCTACTGGAACGACATAGACAAGCTTGTGTTGGTCCAGAATGAAAATGCTCTGTCCAATGACAGTTCAGCGATGGAAAACCGGACAGTAGTCGTGACAACCATCATGGTAATGTACCCTGAGACTGCTTTCATTTCTGATTAGTTTGGGGGCTGTTTGAGATTTGGGTGAAGCTGTCCTTCAACACTGACAATCAGTCTTTTCAATTCTACAACCTAATTTTACCAAAACCTTGCTCCCACCTGATATTTAGGAAGTTTATGGATATGACAACTGCTGTAAATGCAAACAACACAGCATTAAGGAGGTTAGATAGGACTAGATGCAGTAATGACCAATGTGTTAAAGACATTTTGCTAATGTAGTACGGTGGTTCCCAACCATCTTGTGACACTATAGACACATCAAGTTGATGGTATAGAAAAGGAGCCATCCTTTTAGTGTAGAGTGGAAACTACTACAAGTCATAGAAAGAATTTAGAGTTGAACCATGGGCTGGAGGCAGGAGTTTACTTCCCTTAGTGATTAGTATTATTGGATACATTCAGTGTCAGACAGTCAGGGGGGTGAAACACAACACAAGTGTCATGTGGCAGAGTTTAGTTAATGTAAAAAAAAAAAAAAATCAGGTTGGAGCAGGATGAGCTGTACGCTTATAGTTGTAGTGAGCACTCAGAGCACAGCCAGGAGGGAGTGGTACTTGTCCAGCTGGAAGATTACACTAATGTCTCATTAGTAGGCAAATCTAAAACTGACCTCGGATCACTATTTAGAAGTGACCTCAGTCCAGTCTCTTCTAATGACTTTCAGATAGACACCGGTCTACAGCCCTGTATAATTATTCCTCTTTCTTCTACAAACACAGATAAAGGAGGGCTAATCGGTGGATTTGTGCACATCCTCTGCTTACATTTGATTTCACTTCACCCATCTGCAGCCCTTTTATGGTGGCCATCCCCTTCCTGTAAATGCAATCAGTCTAATTCAATTGGGCATGCAAAATGATGCAAGTGAAAGCAACTCAAAAGACTAATTTCAGCCCAGAGATAAAACAAGCCACAGATGCTTGAGCTTCAGCAATTCAGCATTTTGTTTTAAACCACTTTGCTTCATTCAGCAAAATCAAGTAAAGTATGACCAAAATATCTGTAGTTGTACTTACACTAATAGAAACACCTATAAATGGACAACTTTTCAGAGATGTTGATTTGATACTACAGCTGAAGTCTACAGTGCCTTCGGTGGCCAGAAGTGGTAGTAACCAGTCAGGTCTGCACAGAGGAAAACGACCACACATGCTCAGAGAGTTAACAAAAAAAAGGATGAATTCAGCTGTACTAAATGTCCCCAGTGACAGCCCCACCTCTAGTCATGCACACTACGACTGGCAATGTGTTAAGCAAATACAAACAACACATCAATACGATCAAATACATTTAAGGGCAAGTTGTCATTCTGTGACCAAACCTCTTTTGAATATTTGTATATTATGTTAATGTTCCCTTACTGTCGCAGGCTGTTGTTATTTTTATGTATATTTGGCTTGTGTCTCTGATTACATACATTTTGTGTGGTTGTAAAAGAGATGAGTGTGCACAGAGTTTGGCATCACTGCATACGTCTTTTCGATGTTTGTTCCTTCCCTATTTCCTCCCACCCATGTCTCTCTGTCATCTGACTTTCCGCTATTCCACTATCCCCGCTTTCTGTGTCACTCTCCCTCTCACTATGTCTTTAACTGCATTGCCATTACTTCAACCCCCATGCCCCTCGTTTTAACCTTCATGCCTCCCCCGCCTGCATATTTCTCTGTGGATGGTGACCTCAGCAGGCCTTGGCTAACGTTAGCTCAGCCACCTCCTCCTCTTTGCAGCCTCTGATGATGAGGAAGCCTCTGCTGCGACACTGATGCCGGGTCTGCAGACAGAGACTGAAACAGAGACTCACCTGAGTCGCAAACCCTTGGGAAAGACAGTGGACAGACAGACTGACTAAAGCAAACAAAGACTCAGTGTGCTCTGTTGATGTTTTGTTATTATGGCTTTTTTTTGTATGTATATTTTGTAGAAAATGTGGTTTTTTTGTTGTTGTTGAAATTATTTCTATGTTTAGAAGTGGTTTAGCCTGCATTACCACAGCAACAGTGACCAAGAGGGACTGAACAGATGCCTGTGAGGCACTGGGATGCCTTACCGACTGTGCTCCTGTCTTCCTTTATGACAAAAGCCACAGTTGGGACGGGAGCTCTGCGAGGGATTCTGTGGCCGCTGTCAAGATTTGATGTTTGGCCACAAAAAATCACCCGACCATCAGACAGCCCTGTTAATTCAGATTCTTTTCATTCTTTCTGAGGACATTACAGTCACCACCACCTTCTCTGTAACACCACAGAGCACCCGCAGAAAAAATTACCTCACAAAAATGTATAATTTTTCCATATTTTACAATTTTTTCTGTGTTGTTGTGTTTTTTTTTTTTTTTTTCCAAGCTAAAATGTGGGAGGAGAGTGATACATGGACAGGTCTTCGTGTCAGTCCTACATTTGGTAGTCCTCACCTTTTGATACCACTCTTTCTCCATCTTCATCTTTCTGCTCCGTCACTCTGTAAATCTACTCAGTCATGCTTACTTGGTCAGCTGTCCTTTACCGTGTTTCAGCTCCTCTGAGAGCTCTACACCTGAATGGAAACGTATTCAACACTAGGGGCGCTTGTCTGAAGCACAACATATCTCCACACTTCACATTAAAATGCCACCATTACAAATGTTTGAAATTGTCTATAATTTAACTTTCACTCTAGCTTTGTAGCTGCACTTTACATGTTTTATTACTTTAATTACACATCAATATCCTGAAAAAAATGAGATGGGATATATACAGTTTATACACATACACACCTAACCAAACAACCACCCTGAACACCTTCAATAAATGCAAGCACATACGCTCACACACTATAAGAAGTACATGTATATACATACATATTTACACAAACACAACCTGTATTAGCAAAGTGGATTGATGGGGATTGATTGTTAAGTCTGGTGGCATTTGCCTTTAAGTACTTGCTTACTTGGTAACATAGCCCTTGAGGATATGACAATCTCTTGTTTATGCGTTTGCTTTGGCTTCAGTTAACCGCAACATACAAATTGCTCCTTTAACAACTTATTTATTTTAATTGGCTTAAATATAAATATGTATATATCTAATCAATGAAATTTGCCTTTACATTTTTTTGTATTTTCTGTCAGTGATGGATTATCAAAAAGAACAGCATGCTATCCAACAAGGCTCTTCATCAGGATGCAGGACTCTCATACACAAAGCTGAAGATGGCAAATTGATATTAAGGAGCTACATTATTTATGTGATCGTATAAAGTAGGTCGAATTACATAAACAGAAGACAAAATATGCAAGCATCTGAAAATGTTGGCTTTGGAGAAATATAGAACTAGTTCAGCCAAAATGGTGACTTATGAAAAGTATTGTGGATGCTGGTTGGCTGGCTGATGGCCTGTGTGGCTGGTGAATCATTGGTTAGACTGATAACAATGCACACTTTTGGCCACCTGGTTTGCTACCTGGTGGACTGACTGACTGGCTTGTGACTGCTATTAGTCACCTGTTTAACTGACAGGTGACTAATAGACTGGCTGACTGACTTCCAAGTGGTCACTGGTTGACTTGTTGACTGACTGCTGAACTGCCTTTGCTTTCTTTATGGCTGAATAGCTGTGAGATAATCATGCTGACTCATTAATATGTGACTGGATAGATAATTAGTAGTAGTATAATTGCAGTAATTAATAAATTAATCAACTGACGGACCAAAACAGGCTGTGACTAACCAACTGCCTGGCTTGCCTCTCTCTGGCCATCTGAATGGATGCCTCGCAGGCTAATTAAATGTCTTGGTGGTTGGCTAACACATTATGTGACAGTCAGACTTTTTAAATGCTGAACTGACTGAGTGTCTGTTTTGGACAGTTAGGTGACTGTCCAGTCGGGTGCCTGTTTGCACTGGCTGGCTAAATGGCTTACATAGCAAGTCCTGTCTGCCTTTTTGGCTCCAGTGTGAAGTGTTTCATGTCTTATCAGCTCAAACCATTTGCTTCTACAAAGCCGTTCCCCCTCTTTCGCCCATCCATTTTCCCTCTTTATGTCTGTCTTTTCATCCTATCCCTTCTCTTGTTTTTCTGCCTCTTTTCCCCCTAATTTTTCACATTGTCATATTCCCTCTTTCTCTTTATCTCTCCTTCACACTTTCCTTTTTTCTGTTCCTATCTATCCTCTATTCTCCCTGTAGCTATCACTGTTTGTATTCTGATCTGCTCCTTCATCTTTCTTCTATAGTTTCATGCAGCCAACACACCCCACATCCCTCTCTCCATGTGCATCTTCTATTTCTTTACCATGCACTCCCTCCCCTTATTCCTTACAACCCCCTGGTCTTTGCTCCATCTCCTTACTTTTTCACCTCCCGTTTCTTGCCATGCCCATGATGCTTTCTTCCCAGCAGTAAATACATGCACTAACATCCAACACACACAAACACACTCACACGCAGAATTGGCATTACCACCTTCACACTGAGACAAAGGCGTCTGGGGCAAACTGATAACAAACCTTAAGGAGACTTTAAAGTGAAACAGTTCCACTGTTGGCAGAGCTCCTACTGGTTTCTCTTTGTGTGTGCTTGTTTACATAATACCAAATTAACCCTTCACTAAAATGAAGTAACCTGCTCTGATTTCAAACACTTGACCTTCTCACAAACCAGAGGGTAATTTGATTGCACCTAAGATGGTTGTGTATTTTCCGTGTTAACACAACTTAAGTAAATGATTCCCCTTGAGATTTAATAAATTTAAGATTAAGCAAAAACAGCCTCCTTACATTTTTCAAGAAATAAGATGATCTCTCAGTAGTCTTTTTGTGCTGACCCCTCTGGGCTTTGACAAGAGCTCATCAGTTTAATTCACCAGAAAGCATATTTTACATTTCAGCACACCACGTACAAATTATAGCTCTAAATAAATATGTTTAAAAGAATAGTTTGACATTTTTGGTTTAAGCTTATTTGCTTTCTTGCTGATGGCTCAATAAGGTCACGTCTGTCCATTATAATGTAGCTGTTGCCGGCAGCTGGTGAGCTTAGCTTAGCATAAAGACTGAAAACAGGGGGAAACAGTCAGCTTTGATATGTCTGAATGCAAAAAGAATCTGGCTGCCAGCACCTTGAATGCTCACTGACTAACATGTTAAATCTCATTTGTTAACTCAATTTGGAAAACAAAACAGACAACCCTTTAAAAGTTATATCTCCAAATGAGAATCACTTAATTAATCTGTGAATAAGATTACTGTATATTGTAATCCTTTCTATCCATTACAATAGATACGGATCTCTGTACAAAGTGGGCCCAAAACTTTTCATTTAAGTCATTCCACATTTTTTAATTTGTGTCCAAAATGAATTTGCCCAGTGCTACAGCCTTTTATTGATTTTTAATGAATATAATCACATTCATCTAGTTTCAGCATTAGCATCATTTTTCTTTTCAGCTTGCTTTAAAATATCCAAATAGTCCCTGATTGCCATTGTCAAGCCTACTTTACTTTAATTCTGTAGAAAGTTTCTGTTTTATCTTTGCCTTTGTGTTCAAATTTAGTTATTTTCATATAAGCGTGCACCTAAATTTCCATTTCTTCTTCACCTGAAGAAATGTGCTAAATAATAATAATTATCCTTATACAATTTTCCTCTCAAACTATTTGGTGGGAAGTCAATGTCATGCCAGGTCGGAAACCGTCAAACTTATGATTTCAAAACACTAAAAATGTGGATGTAAATTAGATGTAAACGGTAATTAGGTTACAACATTGGTGTCCTTCATAACATGGTTTTCAGTTCACGTCTTCATTTCCTCTTGTCTGTATCCCTGCTACAGAGCAGTCCTCGTGGCGGTGTTGATCTATTAGAGGAAATTTACTTGAAACTGTTTTGCTGTTCATTAACATTATGATTCATGTTGAGTCAATGGAATGAGAGCCCCGGGACCTGCTAATGTTCCCAATAATGACATTTTAGGAGAAATGTTTTTGTATGTTCTGACATTGAACATAACAGGGACCATTTTTGTATTCGATGATAGGGATGATGTTGGTGATAAAAGAATAAAGTGTTCAGCATAAATTAAGAACTGAATTTCCATATGTGTGGTTGGTTTTGGAAGAAATCTATTTTGTTGTCACAAATACTGATGACTGAATAATGGTTTGTAAGAAATGTGATAATGCGTTACTTGGGGTGTTTTTTTTTTATTTGTTTTTTTAATGTGTGATTTTCACCTTTTATCCCTAATATATTGTGTGACAACTGCAGGATCCGTGGCTAAATACTTTACAGTGCTTACAAACCATTTGATAATAACATCTCTCTGGATTTAGAAACAGGAAGGATCTACAGCCAGTCTAGCAGCTCTTTGAGGCTGTACTTTGGCACAGCAGTGCTTTGAGCTAAATGCCCAGATCAGCATGCTAACATGCTCAAAATTACAATGATAGCATTTTGATGTGTAAAAGATGGAAATGTCATTAGTTTTAAAGGTTCATAGTTATTAATCAAATTACTGGACAACTACATAAGTAACAGCACTTCTACAAGAATGGATCATTTTTACATCTGGATACATGTAAGCCCATTGAATAACCATATTAAAAAAAAAACATTTCTGTCTATTTTACCTTTCAGTCATATGCAAATACACAAGGAATTTATTTCCAGCTGTCTGTTTACTGAAGCTAAAGAGAATCAATGTATAAATCCAGCTTCCCTTTGTAGGTTTGATTTGTATAGTTCAGTTTCCACTCTAAGATCTTTTTTTAAATCCCACTTTCTGCCTGCCTATGATCTAAACTAGCTTTCATTGTATTTCAATTTCCTGGATTTGAAGATTGCTCTGTCGATTCCCTCCAAATGTGTATATGAATGATTTTATTGCTCATTTGACCCCTTTCAAAACATGTCAGTCAACAATCCTCTTTGATTAAACTGTACTTGTTTTCAATGTGAATCAATTTCCTGAATGAAGAATTCAATCCAAAATATGTTATCATTTTGTATTGTGTTTTATGATCCTCATAAATCGTTTCATAGCTTGGGAGTGTTGGATATTATAAAAGCCTGTTTGATTAATTAGATGAGATTAGTCTTTGATTAAAAAGGGTTTGATAGCATTTTAATTGGCTTGGTTTCAGCCAGATTACAGGGTGAGCAGCCTCAGGCATAATACCATAACTCACTGCTCCTGATGGATGCGCTGTCACTCAAAAGTCTGTGTGCCTTTCTTTTCTCTGTGGTTATCCTGTGCAGGTGTGGTAATGTGTGCTTCTCTGTGACCATGCTTGTGTTTGCGTGTTATTGCTAACAACATTAAACTCTCTGTTTGCTTTTATCTTTGTTAACTGCATGCACAGAAATCATTCTACCTCTTACGGCACATTACCAAAGCAGCAGTGTTCTTTTCTTTTTCGTCTCTCTCCCTGTGTTTTCCTCCCATTTTCGCCACTCAGCATTGGTGTTGTACTGAGCCAGGTGCAGGTCCCAGTGGAGGCATGTAGAGTCAGACAAAATAATAAAACAAGGAACTAAAAGTCAGAAAAATATAAAACATCTACCTCAGACAAGGCTTTTTTAAAACGGCTCTGATATTTTTCCCGTTATATAAACTCAGCAACTGTTTCCATCAAGTTTTGGATGGCTGTGTGATGTTTATCTCCTTTAAAATGTTATCTACACAAAAATGTGTGACTTTTAGTTTCCCTTCACTGCCCTACATGTAAGGTTAAATCAGTCTCTTATACTGATGTCAGAATCTCAATGTCACAATCTAAGGTTTGCCTTCATAGAAGCTGGTGTCCAACAATGTATTGGTGTATTTCATAGAGCTGTATCCCTTTGTGTATGATAAAAAGTAATGTATGCTTCTTTTGAAAATGTATATACTTAATTGGTTTCATTTTTCTTTGTAATATGTGTTTTTCCTTGGTACAATGTTACCAACCAAAGAGCTGGCTCTTTTTCATAAGTTTTCATTTTCCTTCTTTTAATAATAGCTGCTGTCATGTTCCTCCAAACAGCTGTGTCTTTCTCCCCTTATGCTGGTTTTATAGGAGGGTCCCTATGTGATGCTGAAGAAGAACTGGGAACTTTATGAAGGCAACGACCAGTTTGAGGGATACTGTGTGGACTTAGCCTCAGAGATCGCCAAACACATTGGAATCAAATACAAGATCTCTATCGTACCGGATGGGAAATATGGAGCAAGAGATCCAGAGACGAAGATATGGAATGGCATGGTTGGAGAGCTTGTGTATGGGGTAAGTTTGGATGGAAAATGTTTGGACTTTGTTGGTGATTTTGTCAGTTATTTTTATAATGAATTATTTCACTGTTTAGTCTGTCTATTGCCAGAGAACAGTGGAAAATGTCCTTCACAAGCTCTCTGATGTCCAGATGATGTCTTCAAATTGTTTGTTTATATATTCATATATTCAGTATATTCAGTTTAACTTTAGCTTCAGCCTGAAGCCTTCAGGTAATTTATACTTTACATCCCCAAAGAGTCGGCTCACTTTACAGGTTAAAATACACTCCAGTGACAGTAGGAAAAGGACCATAGTACACAAAAAACTCAATCAAGCAATTATTTGATTACCAAATACACAGGGTAAGAGAATAAAACATGTTTAGTTTACAATACAATCCAGTACAACATCACAAATTATAACTATAAAAAAAATTGTGTTTGATCAACAGCTTCAATATTACTTGCACAGTGTAACTTTATAGAGATCATATATACTGCACGGCAAATACATTGCATTATATGTGCTCCTGCTAGTCTGACCCCACTGCAGGCCATCATGCAAATAGCTGATAAATGCTCAAAATAACTGTTATGGAGTCCATAAACTTGTCTCGAGCTCTGCGTCTCCTTAGTTACCATGTCAGTTCCCTGCAGAGACGCCGTGTCTCGAAGGGTTCACTTACTTCTTCAGAACTTGGCAAGCTGGCTAATTATGCCATTGACGCCCATGCACGGTCTGATATTTTCGCATTGCTGTCTCAACGCAAACTTTATCAACATGCAGAAGACAATGTCAGTCGTCACTTTGCGGAAGAGTGAAAGTGGAGACGTTGCTGCAGAACAGCGACAGAATTAATTAGCCTCCAGGATCCGTGTAGTGGAAGGTGACACAGCAGAACCGCTGCATTGACTAATCACGTTTGATTTGTTCCAAACACTCACCGTCCTTTCTGATGACTCTTCTGCCACGCAGAGAAAAGACATTTGTAAGATTTCAAGACTTTGTCCTACTCTGTTTTATATATGGCATTTACTCTCAGTTTATCTTTGTGACTTTTTTCTCCTTTTCTGTCATGTCATGTACTTTTGTCTCCTGCTTTCTATCTTCAATTTATTTAATCGTCCTTTCTGTAGTGCGTTGTGAGTTTTATATTCCTATGCCCTCTTCTCCCTTGCTTTCTTTCCATATTATTTCTGTCTTCCTTGTCTTTGTTTTGCTCTTTATTCTCCTTGCATTGTAACACTTGTTATTTGATATGCTGTTATTGTAGCCTCTTTTTAAGTAAGACTGCAGACGTTGTTTAGACACAGATAGTGTGCTGAATGAATGATATTTTAGACTCTTCTACAGATTGTGCGTGTGTGTGTGTAGGCACTCGTGCAAATGTGTGTGTAGACCTTGCAGACTAATTTAAATTCTGGCAGTGTCACTTTCATGCCCATGTATGAATTACTTCTCTGTCATTCTGATGGTTTTCCCTCTACCTCCTCTGTCTCTTTCAATGCTTCTCTCTTCCCCCTTTTTTCTCCCTGTTTATTTCTTTCATTCCCTTCCTTATGTTGCTCCTGCTTCAAACTGCAGCGATCCTTTACTGCGCTTGTCTACTTTACCAGCCCGTACTGTTTCAAATGTTATTTCTCTATTTATCTTTGGCCTCAGACATTTCCTGTTTGCAGACAAAAGAGTTCACAGGCAGTTCCTGTTCATCATCACTCACTTGTTTTACATGAAGTTGCTGCAAATTAACTGCACTACCATATGCGTAAACTAAACTAAACATATAATTTTCTCTCCAGAAAGCAGAAATTGCCGTGGCCCCACTGACCATCACTCTGGTGAGAGAAGAGGTGATCGACTTCTCAAAGCCCTTCATGTCTCTGGGAATCTCCATCATGATCAAGAAGCCCCAGAAGTCGAAACCGGGTGTTTTCTCTTTTCTGGACCCATTGGCCTATGAGATCTGGATGTGCATAGTGTTCGCTTACATTGGAGTCAGTGTTGTGCTGTTTTTGGTAAGTGATTGTTAAAAACTAGAAGTCAGCAATTGAGTTGGATTGCAGGGATTGAAGAGTTTTTAAAGGCTTGGGGTTTAAGGATGAAAGAATTATTATTATTTGGCTCACAGGCTAAAGATATTTCTCAACTCGTGGGATATATCACATGGTACCCTGTCTATTGGATACATTTCCAGCTGATCAGGTATAATATATATAGAGGAGATGAGACTTCTTCTTCGTTTGTACAGCTGGATGCCCTTTTCTTATAATATAACACCTTTTTAGTGATCAAAAATCCTGGTATAAACTGTATATATGTTTTAAGGATTATTAAAATCCCTAAATGAATTAATGCAGTTAATAATTTTCCAAGTACATTGCCTTTACAACTCTAGTCTAGTGTCTTTTACAGTGTTAAAGAAAGCTCGCTTAAAGTTGTCCTATTGGACAGGAATAACATATCAGACAGCTCTGTATGCAAGATATGCAAAAACTTAATGTGAGATATTTAAGACATGCAAGTTCACAAGATCAGGTTGGCATAACTCCTCTGACACCAGAGCGTCTGCATATTCAAGGTTTTGTTTTCTTCCACAACAGTCACAAGACATTTACCCTCCATGGTTTTGAATGTGTTACTTAGCTGTTATGACATTATTTCTCCCATATTTCTCCCTCTGCTCATTTGCTCCGGCCTGTATTAGAATAACAACTTAAATGCATTTTTTTTTTTGTAATGACCTGCTCCGGCCTGTCTTTCCTTTACAGACATCGAAATGATCTATAACACTTATTTTTCCTTCACTGTCTCAGGTGAGTCGCTTCAGCCCATACGAGTGGCATGCAGAGGAACCAGAGGAGGGAACAACAGAGCTGGGTCCCACTGACCAACCTCCCAATGAGTTTGGCATCTTTAACTCCCTCTGGTTCTCACTGGGAGCTTTCATGCAACAGGGCTGCGACATCTCACCACGGTGAGGGAGAGAAATGGAGCGTGTGTGTGTGTCAGAAAGAGAGCGAGAGACAAACAGAATGCTTTTGTGTAGAGAGAGGTGGAGACAGTATTTTAGTATACAGGATGTGTTTATAAGAGTGTATGTCTGGGCTGGGGATAGCGTGTGTGTGTGTTTAACTGCCTGCAATGTTAAAGTGCTTTAGTATTTGGCTGTGGTGATTCAGACTGTTGACAATGTGAATCACCTCTCTTAGCACTTTTTCTAGCTTTCACTGAAATGGACTGCTTCTCCAAGACAGTGTGTTACAGAAGCTTAAGATGTGTTAGAAATACATGCACACACACACACAAAAAAAACACAAAAGTGAGAAGAAAACACCTGCACGTAAGCCCAGCAGTCATGTACATATGGCTGTGCTATGGGGGGAAAGTTAGCAGTTTTTTAGATGGGTATGAATTTTTAATGCACCACTGAAGAGAGGCAGAGTCCAGCTGTATTTTTAGAATATTTATAAGAATATGGCATTTTATTATTGATAACCTGAGAATGCAGTTTAGTGAAATATTCATGGCCATCATCCTCAAGACCTTTAGGGAGCAAATCTAAGGAGAGAAGGAGAAGCAGATAGAAGTGATAGACGATGAGCTGAAAGAAGGAAGAGGTGTGAGCAGCTGAACAACGTGTGTGTGTGTTTGAAAGAACAATAAGAACTATTAACAAATATTGCTTCATCATATAACATGGAGACAGAGTGGTTCATCTTGTTTTGTAGGACAGAGACAAATATGCACAGTTATGATATTTTAGTTCTGTATCCCTATGATGAGATTTTTGTTTGTCTTGACTTTGGTGGAAGTAATTGCTGTGATGTTTTGCACTGCTTAGGGTTGGGCAATATGTTTGCATTTTCCAACTGGCCACTGTCAGTCCAACAATTGGCAATTGTGCCAGCACCCCTGGCAGCTGGGCAACATGCAACAAGCTCTCGTAGCTTTAATAAACAAAATAAGCCAACCAAATGTCAAGAAAGGAAAAGAAAAACACCTATTTTCCTCATTAAACTGAAAAATACTGTAAAACTGTCATTGTGTAAAACCTTGTTAAGCAATCTTAGAACATACTTATTTCAAACTCAACAGAAACAAAATAAAACCCACCAAACCATATTTATTACTCTTTTCACAGTTCCAACAATAACCAATGGGTGTTAGGGCACCCTGGTGGTCATAATGTTATGCAGCCCCCATACGTAACAAACTGTGATACACTGTGTGTTCTGACCCTTTTCTATCAGAACCAGCATTAACTTTTTCAGCAATTTGAGCTACTGTAGCTCGTCTGTTAGATCGGACCCAGTTGCCTAGCCATCCAAATTTGTCCCTTATTAAAGTCGCTCAAATCCTCACGCTGCCCATTTTTCCTGCTTCTAACACATCAACTTTGAGGACAAAATGTTTACTTGGTGCATAATATATCCCACCCACCGACACATTAGCATTTCACGTTTTAGAAAAGAACAAAAGTTTTATATCAACTGCCCAAACTTAATTTTCTTCCTCCTCCTCTTTTGCTCCTCTGCCCTTCTCCTTCGTTCTTTCATCCATCTCTTTCACACTCTCTCTTTTCCTCTCTACCCTGCTCCCAGACACCTGTCGTCTTCCACTACTCCCCTCTTTGCTGTGACTGACAGGCCAATTCTATCCCCACACAAAATGGGAAAAAAAAAAAACCGCTCTCACCAGCTGCACACACTAAAACACACACACATGCACACACATGCGCACACATCCGCACACGAATACACTGACATTGCTTATACACACACATGCAAAAGAAACACCCAGTGTGCAGTTTCACAACAATCCAACACAGGCATGCAGACCTCTCCTTCACTTGCAGGACTTGTTATAGATGTGTGTGTATAAGCTACAGCTGTCACAGTGATAATGTGATACTTAACATAAAGCCAGTGTTTGTCATATAAATCACCCGGCCCTGTCACCTCCAATACAGCACAACTCCTCTATAGGCCAGGATTACTGCAGTCTTAAATGCCAGATTATATTCATAGAATGTGAAATCTGTCACCAATCTGTCACCTTTCTCTTCTTCTTCTTCATTTTATTTTATTTGCTGGACTTTTCACACAAGAGGTTTCAGTGCAAACTTACATCTGATATTTTCATAAAGGCAGCTCATTATAGTAATAATTTATCATTTACATTCATTATGATGTCTAATGTATCACAATGTCAGTGTCATGATATAAACCATGTTGCAACAATATTGGTATGACAGTTGTAATTAGTGGTGTGGCTCTGCTCTAACCTTGTTTTAGATAACGATAACAACCAACTCATTAAAATCAGGTGTGTTGTAAAAGGTATAGCTTTGGATATGCAAATCTCTCAATTGAATTATTGACACTATGGGCACAAACAAGGACCTGCCCAGCAGCAAGCAGCACAGTTATCCACAAGTTAGTGAACATAATGGAGTATTTAGAAGCTAAAGAGCCAGATATTTCCCAGACCAAAATTAAAAGTTAAAAGAGAGTGAATATTGGACCTACGTTTGTCTGGTAGCCAAAAACACAACACCACATTAATGAAAATGTTGCAGTGATTGCTGCTGAATAAGCAACTGTTTGCTGATAGATCTGCTACATCAACTTAAAAGGGATGATATGTCACTGTTGTGTTCACAACTTGTTTACCCTGACACCACAATGATTGTAGTAGAGCATCAAGCGGTATTCAGTAAATGGTTCGGTATGCTTGAAAGGAACCAGTTTGTACAAGGTGTCATGCAAAAAAAACACATCTAAGGCAAAAATGTTTGGTCACACTCGTATTGAAAAACCTGCTGTTGGAGTATCAGGACAAAATATATCGTATAACTGGGCACAACACAACACATTTTCAGTTATAGCTGGATTGTCAGTTTCGAAAGTAACAAAAGTTGTGACCAAAAGCCAACAAACCCCCCCCATGCCGATGTTGGACTGGTGTGGGGGGAGAGAGTTATACAATAGGCCCTAAGACCATGCAGGATAAGTTAGTGCTAAAATGTTTATGGAAACTACCTGGTTATTGATATGAGAAGTCATTGTCCTTATTGATAACCATCCAGATCAACTGACTGACTGACTAAAGCTCAGTCAGTCTTTCTCAAAGGTTCTGACATAAACATTAAAAAACACAAATAGGGTGAAGCAGCACTACATTCGAGTCGCGCTGCTACTCTCATATATTACACACTCCATTGTTTGCAACACATACCCAGCACACTTGTCTATTTAATCCGTCATGCTCTGCTTGCTCTTTTGTTCTGCCTAAGCTGTAACTGCTACACTGCTCACTGTGAGCATCACTGCACCATCATCATCATCATGCTGCTTGCTTATGTATAGCATTAAAACACCGTCACCTCCACCACAGTATTCACCTGTAGCTGCTGATTGTAGTGAGTCACTTTCTAATCTCTCTATGTGTGGGCTTAAGTGTGTGCTGCAGGGAGTCATGAGGTTTGACTGACGTGCTTAGATGTCAAACATTTGCTGTGCCTTGTATTCACATATAACCATTCCACATAAACTGACTGAAATACCTAATGACGCACTTTATGATTATGTAAGAAGAGGCAGAAATATATAAAGCGATAATGGTCAAAGAGTTAAACTGACTTGTGCTTTAGAAATGAAATAATCCTGCAGTCCAGGCTTTCAGCCATAAAACCATGTGATAGATGAGTCTTCACTGTGACACCGTGCTCTGCAGAAACACTAGCTCATGTACTTAGAAAAGAAACGTGTCATGCATATTATCATGTCATATCTCTTCAGTACATTTCCTTTATTCTCCCATTCCCTTGTTCACCTTTGCAGGCAGGCAAAGTCATCATCATGGTAACTTCAGTCACTACTGACAGCAGAAATGTGCTATAGCTACAACAAAGACAAATATATTAGCATATCACAAGATGTATTCCAGCTTCCCATCCAACTCCTTCACATGTCCTTCTAACTGAAATATTAAAATATTTAACGTTCACTTCTGTCGCTACATTAAGGATGAAGCATGGCACGTTTGCTTATTTGCTTTATCAATTTACCTGCATGCCGTTATTGGCTGCGTAACATCTTCTATGAACAACACAATTACTCACAAAGGAGAAAACATAATAGAATTGGAGATTGCGTCTCTACCCAGGCAGAGTTTCACTGACAGATTAAATCCACAGGGTCTCAATTACAGAGCATAACGCTCTTTTGTGTGGTGTGTTGATTTAGGCCAATAAGGTAGTTGTAATTTTACAGAGAAATCTGGGCTACTGGAGCTTTAGTTTCTGCATGCATGAGTGATCAAGTCAATATCTAAAATAAACCCAGACGCATTTTCTTTCACATAATTTTCACATTTCCTCCTATCTTCTATACATCAGTCCGGACCATGGGTTGCTTGTTCTGGTTTTATCTATTTTATCTATCCTGCCACTTAGAGATCTTAGTATTGAGGTTGACATTTACTGTGGAGCTGGGAATAAAAAGGCAGGAGGCAGGAAGAGATTTCATTAGCACAAAAGCCATTCTTAAAATGAAGAGACCCAACACCAGTCTGATTGATATTCCCTTGAGTGCACAATAACAAACCATGATTTAGGAAAATTAAGAATATCTTAATGAAACAATCCTACATTTGTTTGATTGATGTTTCCTGGAGTGCACAAAAAAAAACATAGTTAAGGAAAATAAATCAAAACAGATATCTGTGTGTGCAAATGAACCCTTCATATGCTTTGCAGTCAGCCTGATTGGCTATTTACAGTGTATTTATATTTAAGTAAACATCTCCTCCGTCTTGTTTCATGTGTCGTCTTACAACCTTAATGAGCAGCTTTCGCCAACTGGTCCATGTGTTACACACTGATTTCTTTTCTTTTTTTTACTTTATACACTGTGTATGTGAGTGTGTGTGTATGCTGTGTGTGTGTGTGTGTGTGTGTACCTGTGTAGAAGA